AAAAAAAATCCTCATCCTCTTTTCCTCTCCTAGAGATGATCAACCCAGAATGAGGATCGGTTTCGAAGGCTGGGTGTTTGCAAGAGGACCCCTTATCTTATATAGAAAACATAGTCGTGGTGGGTTTGTTTGTATTCAGTCTGTTTCTATGCCACCTTCCTCCCTCCCCCCCAGGTAGACTGGTATAGAGATATTCATGCCAACCAGTCGCCACCGCCTCCCTGTCCAAGAAATATAGGTGTATTTTTATGCCTGAGAAGAAGGGGGGGAAAACATGAGGTTAAGCAGGACAGTTGTCCCCCAGTACAGGTGTCTGTGTGTCTAGGGCGGGACTTGGGGGGGCAGAGAGAGAGGAGAGAAAAACCTTATGCCTGCATCTTGCGACCAGCCATCCAGACTCCAGAAATAGGGGGAAGACCTAATCGAGTAGCTGTAACCCCACTTTGGGTGGAAAAAGAAAGAGACGCAGAGAGGCCGGTTCATCCACAGGAGAAGGAAGTGTTGTGTTGCCATCAAGTTGCATCCGACTCTTGGTGACCAGAAAATTGGGTTCTCGGCTGGGGAGCCCAGAGGCTGGGAATCTGGCTGAGTCTTGCGGGGGGGGAAGCCAGCCTGTGTGGCCTTGGGGCAAGGGGGCAGAGTCCCGGGGCACACACCCCCTTGCCCCCCAAGAAGGAAGGCCTGGTAAACCACATCTGAGGACTTTATATCTACAAAACCTTAAGAAAAGTGCCTAAGTCCGAATCAACATGACGGCGTGTCATTATTATTATTATTTTGCACCAGAGACCTGTCCGCACGGCTCAGTGGTGGTTCAATTGGAACAATAACACTCTACAGAAACCTTAGGCTAGAGAGTCTGGCCATTTTTCCTGGGGAGGGAAAGCTGGACTCTGAGCCACTGCTGGTGGTTCCCGATTTTGGGAGACAGACAGTGTATAAATCAAATAGATAAAGAGGAAAGAATGCTTTACGTTGCTTTTTTCATAGCGGGATGAGAACACCCCGGCGCTTCCTGCTGTCATAATAATACTCTACAGAAACCTTAGGCTAGAGAGTCTGGCCATTTTTCCTGGGGAGGGAAAGCTGGACTCTGAGCCACTGCTGGTGGTTCCCGATTTTGGGAGACAGACAGTGTATAAATCAAATAGATAAAGAGGAAAGAATGCTTTACGTTGCTTTTTTCATAGCGGGATGAGAACACCCCGGCGCTTCCTGCTGTCTGCGGAACTAGCAGACTTTTGTGTTTTTTTTTTCCAGTTTTTCTCTAGGTTAGGCATGGACAGGGCCGCGCTGCGCGCCCACCACAATCCTGTGGAGGCTTTTCAAGGGTAGGGACAATACAAGATCTTCTGAATAAGAAACGAAAGAGTTATGTCTAAGAAGTCTTTCTTTGTAGAGGAGGGGGGGAAAGGGCAAGCCCTTTGGAGCAAAGAGATGGAGCATTTTTTGAAAAGAAGAGGTGGTCCCACTCTGGCCAAGGCGTTCAGCTTCCCCCTGGCGAAGGGAGGTGGGCCCTGAAGACAAGGACCGAACCCGATTCTGCCTACCTGCTGTCAAAGGTTGCAGGCTGCTTCCTCTTCTCCTCCCGACTTGCATCTGCACTCAGAGGGCAGGGCTGGAGTCGGCTCGCTCTGATGAGGGAACAAAAGCGGGCCTTTCTTTTCCTGCCAACTGTCTCTGCAGTCAACCACGCTCCAGGTGCCTCCTCGCCTCCGTGCTGCGTGACAGCTAGATTCCCTGGTGAAGTTCCTTGGGGCAATGGAAGGCAGGGAAGAGGGTAAGGTGCTTAATATCCCCCCTCACACACACACACACACACACCCTTCTCGAGGATTGTGATTCCCCATTCACAAAAGTGATGGAATCTGATTGCATTTGCTCTAAGGTCATCCCAGCCCGGTCCTCTGCCCTGGGCTACATGATAATCTGAATAACAGGGTAGCTACGGGTTTTCTGGAGCTGTGGGTGTTCTCAGGGAGAGCTGCCATGAGATCCGGTTTCCCTTTCAGCTTAAGAGAGAGGAAGGCTTCCGAAAGACAGCAGGCGGCCCGCTGCGTTTTCATTCAGCCGAGGGTGGGGAGGAGGGAAAGAGGTCACCTTATCGTCATCTCGAGTTGCAGCAGCCACAGAGCGCCGCGGAGGAGCGCAAAGGAAAAGATGGGAGGACGGTGGCACGCCAGGGGTGGAGGGCCGCTCCGGTGTCCATGCCAGCCCAGCTGGTTTCCCCGACAGTTGTGCAAATGGTAACCAGCTCGCTTTCTCCCTGGAAATGGATCTCCTCTTAGCCGGCTTGCAGGCTGGTCCTGTCGTGCGTGTCTCCTCGGCTTAAGTCTTAAGGTAGGACAGACGGGGTGGGTGGATCTTTGGTATCTGTTAAATCGCTGGACTTGCTGCTGGCCGGAAAGCCTGAAATTCACTGATCTGTGTTTTTAAAAGTCATCACAGTATGTTTGAAAGGGTGATGTTGTAGGTTAGAGTGGAGGGACTCGGGCTGCTCTGAAGGCAAATTGTAAGGTTGTCGCCTGCATTGCAGGTGCATAACAGACCCAAAGAGACTCGCCAGCTTTTTGGGGATGGGCCCGTGCTTCTTCAACAAAAGGGATATGTCTTAGTTCTTGCGCAGCATGTATTGCTGCTGGTGAGGTTTGCTGCTATATTTTTCCATGTCTTAAGTACTTGTCTGAAGCAAATAGGAGATACTTTAAGAATGACGGTTTGAAGATAATGTACCAGATTCTTTTTTGGTTGAAGAATGATGGTTTGAGATGGTGAGGTTCGAAGATAATGTACCAGATTCTTTTTTGGTTAACACAACCCTTGGCATTCGCGCCTCTCCTCTGTCTCTTCCTTCAATGGTTTGACATACTCGCTGCGTGAAATTAGCCGATAGATTCCTCAAGCTTATTGAGAAAATAAACAGCAGTGTCGTCTCCTCGCCCTTCTGTTTTGTCATCATTGAAGTCTGGACATCAGTATGGTTGCTGTTTGTTTTCAACTTAAAAGGTGGGGCAGCCATGTCTGAGGGAGGGGTTGCCGGCATTAAAAAGTGGATAAAGTCAGTGTTAGCACTTGCATTTGCCCAGTTTTGGCATATTTTGTAATCATTTCCATCCAGGTTTTATATATGAATCATTATAATATCTGAGACATTGTTTGTAAACACCTAATGTAAGTTTGGAACACGAATCTGAGTGTTGCTAAACAATGTTGTTAATCTTTTAAGGCCATTCATTTTTAGCATCCAATTGATCTGTTATTATGAGCAAAGTAAAATAGAATACTGTTGTTAAGAAATACTGGATGGCACACATTATGACAGATGGGTAGAAACAGCAGACTTCGCATTTATTCTTGTCAACTGACCAGCTCTGGAATCACCGACAGTTCCAGACAGGACATTAAATTGCAGAGTAACAGAGGAAATAAAACTATCTCCAGAGGATGCTACAGGCAGTGTATGAAATCTGTTTTTCCCCCTTTATGTGTTATATGACGGGAGTCCTCAAAGTTAGGAAAATTGGAACACTGTATTAAGAACAACATTTCTTGTAGCATTTAAGTGCAGATGCAACTTTTTGTGGCCGTAAATGTTTCTGTGCATAAAATATTAGAACATCAGTATTTCTGGAAGGAAGGGTAATTCTGGTGGACATGGCTTGCTTGTTTGCAATATTTTAGTCACTGATTTAGTGTTTTGTGTGGCAAATAAGGGTGTGTGTTGGCATGAGCACATGTAACACTGCCTTGTAAGATCAGGGATTCATATGGCTTGTTCAGTAAATGTGGTGCTCTAGGAAAGCATTTGGATTTTATTAGTTACGACATACTCTCGCTGCTATCCTTATAGACTAATACAATGTTTTCTGTCCTTTTAATAAGTATTAAAGATTTCTGGAATGACTGGAGGATAACTTTGGTATCTTCTTCTTCTTCTTCTAAAAAGGGTTTTTCTCTGCATTGCACATTTTAAAGCCATCCTATTGCAGCAGCTCGCCTGCTGTGCCTCCCTAACAGATCCATCTTTTCAGGACGCAGCCTTCGGTGGCTGAAGGGGTCTTCCCATTTTATTTCTTCTCAAACTCCTTCCACTGCATCACTGAAAACAATGGAGTGGGTTGGCTTGGGCGGGGCGGAACCAGACAGGTTGCTCTATATTAGCAGAAAGGAAACCCACCCACCCCGACAACACGTAGCTACAAAAACTGGGACTTGTTGATCACCCTGTACAGATGTGGGCATGCCAAGGGAAACCTGGAAGCAGCTCCCTTTCCGGCATAAGCAAAAAGATAGAAACCTGACAAATGCTAACTGAAACGATGGCACTTTTCTTAGATCCACCGAAGCCCAGGAGCTTGTGATTGAATCAAGGAGCAAGTTTCTAGTGCTGAAGAAGTTGTTCCCTTTTATGTGAGAACGTGATGCGGCACGGCTGGGTTGCCAAGTTCAGTCTGCTTTTCCTGGCTAGCCGAGGTTGCCATTGGCCAAGGCCTGGACTGCACTATGCTGTCTGTTTGTGGCAGGTTGCCATACCGCGTTAGCAGGGCGTCCGCCTGCTTCGAACACATGGGACAAGAGGTGTAGCTCTTGCATCCATGCGTAGGTGTGTGACGGGCAGCGGAGAGAGGGAGGGGCAGGGGAGCTCTCTTGCAAAATCCAGTTGCCTTTGGGCTTTCTAGAATTTGGCAATTGAGCACAAGGGCCTGTGCCATCATTTGGCCAACGAGCTGGCCCTTGTTGTGTGTGTGTGGAAAACAGCATCCTGGATTAGATGAACCCTTGCCCTGATCTCGCAGGGGTCATACTTACCTACTTAGGTAAGTACGGGGAAAGCTTTCAAAAATGGAAGGTGGAAAGAGGGTCCTCCAGCCACAAGGAGGTTTTGCAAAACGCTCGCCCTCCTTTCTGTCCCACTCCAAGGAAGGTGGCTCGCTTCTAAACCTGTGCCTGGTGCCAACAATGGGCAGCTGGAGGAGGGCGAACAAACTGAAACTTAATCCAGACAAAACGGAGGTGCTTCTGGTCAGTCATAAGGCAGATCAGAGAATAGGGATCAGTCCTGTGTCAGGTCAAGGTGATGCTTCTCCTGAAAACTCAGATCTGCAGGATAGAGATACTAGGAGCCTTGCCTTCTCTTGGTGCCCCGGCTGTACCTGTTCCTTGAAATGTCTCGTTTGTCTACAGTGACACTTGCCTTGATTAGATTCTGCCTGGATGACTGCAACCTGCTCTTTGAAGATGGTTCGGAAACTCGAGCCGGTTCAAAAATGCAGCAGCTAGACTCTTGGCAAAGTGGGCGTTCATGGCGGGCAGCCTCGCAAAGCCCTGCCAAAACATGCAAGTTCTCGAGATGAAGGACAGGATGGTCAGCCTCTCTCCTCTCCTCATGCCACAGTGAGCCGTTCCTCTCGTCTTCAGAGCTGTTGAAGGCTTGCCATCTTTTTGGCTCAAATACTGTATAGCCAACCGCTCAATGTTCACCAGTTTTCTTGGGATGAAGAATCGGAGACTTGAAGCCCGAGGCTTTTAATGGGTTGGTTGCAAATAAAATACTTGGGTATCACATCTGCTTTCTTGTCCTTCATCTTTCACAACTGATTCTAGGGGAGTGGTTTCTGAGTAAATATCACTGCTATCTGTCAAGGCTGCAGTCTTCTGTGCAAACCCACTGTTAAGACAGGACAGGACAGAGCAGCTGCCTCCAACAGTAGATTCCCTTTGTCACGAAAGGGAAGAAAACCTTTAAGCTTTTGCTGTTGTTTTGTGCTGTCAAGTTGGTTATAAATTAAGGGCCTCTAAAGGACCTGTCTGGCTCTGCTTGAATCTTGCACACTAAATCTTGTGGCTCCCTTTATTAAGTCAATTCATCTCAGGTTAGATCACCCTCTTTTCCTACTATCACTTCTTCCAGCATTATTCCCTTGCCCAGCGAGTCTTGCAGGTTCGATCACCCTCTTCTCCTACTATCACTTCTTTCAGCATTATTCCCTTGCCCAGCGAGTCTTGCCTTCTCTTGATCCTAAGCACAATAGTCTCTGTTTAGTTGTAATTGCAAATTGCAAGATACTGATTATTGTATTTGTCCTGCCAAAGTTGGGGAAAAGCAGTAGTTTGATTTCGTTTGCCTTCTGTGGCAAAATAACTTGATTGGCTATAACTTCTGTGCATCTTGATCCGAATGCGTTGTGGAGAAAGGATGATGTTTTCTGTTCTGCCTTAGACAGCAAAATGTCTTGGGCTGTTTCTGGACTGTACCCTATACAGCATGTCTGTACAAGTATATTCTTATTGCACTTGTTTCCCCCTTTTTTCCTGTAGAGTTGTTGCTTTCTGTTCTGTGAAACATTTCAAATTTAGGGAATAATATGCCATGCCCAAAGCTCTCAAGTGATCGCATGCCTTCCCCACCCTGGAAAAATCCAGAGATAGGATCGCAGGCAGGACAAAGCAGCTTTTGCATTCAGAAGGCTTTTTAAAAACTACAAATTCAAATTATCTTGGCGGGTGGGGGGGGAATATGAAAGAGCAATTCCTTCTTTGAATTTTTGGGACAGGGGAGAGTCCCCCCCTCCCACTGTCAGCAATGGGGAGCATCTCCGGGGAAGATCTCCCCCCCCCCAAGCACATCCGAGCATCAGGAGTGGGATTTGAATGGAAGCAGGGGCTGAAAAGGGTCAGATTCCTCCTCCATTTTTAAAACTAGCACATGATATGTGAACGCTGGTTCAAAAGCGTGGGAATCACAGGCACATCTTAGCTGAGTGTGAACAGCCACTGCCTCTCTTCTTTGAAGATCTGATTTGAGAAGAGTGGAGCGTTTTTTCCCCCCTCTCTCTGTGAAAATGGCTCACAGTAAGAGCATCTGTCTCTCTCTCTCTCTCTCCCTTGAATCTGCAGAGACACCGGCTTACAGTAACTTGCACCGGGAAGAACATTTGAAGCAGGCTATAAATAGGTACTTTAAAAAATTCAATCCTTCAAGTTTGCTTGCAAGGGTAAGTGGCGGGTGGGGCAGTTTTGCTCCCTCTCAAGAGGCTGGCAGAGAAAAGGCGTCTGAGATTAAGTTGAAATAAATGTTTGTTCGGAGGGAGACAGAGACCCCTGGGTCCCTCTTTAATACAGCTTTAACAGTAACTCTTATTTCAAGTCCCTATGGATGCAACACGGCTTAACTTTCTGCCTCATCAGTTACGGAGAAAAACGCTTCTGCTGACAATTTCAATCCAAAACATTTTGAATCACTCTCAAATTTGAGTAGTGGGTTAAAAACGGGCTTGCTAGCCCACAGCCTGGGAGGGCCGGTTCTCTCCAGCAGGCTACACTGCATACTAATTTAAAAATAGATTAAATTGGCTCTTTAATCATTATAAAATGTGGCTCTTTAATCACTATGAAAACAGAGTAAGCAATTAGAAGACATGCATGTTGCATGCTTCTCTTTCTCTTTACCCCCAAATCGTTACTCACCGTGAATGCCATTTTGGCAGAAAGACAGGGCATAAACGGATAATGCAACAATAAACTGTAATATTGTTAATGGATACAGTTTGGAAAGGTCTCAATTAGAGATGTGGGAGACAGGTAGGAAAAGGCCCAGGTAGATAAGCTCTTTGGTTTTGCTACTGTGTGTCTCTGATTGTGCTTTGGTTACTTGCCTTGTCGCTTGGGAGGGGGGTTCCCTTGTCTCTGGGCATGACGAGCTTTATTAAATTAATTAAAAGGGCCTCCCAAAGTTGGCCCATGACAAGATACCTTCCCTTCCTCCGATTTCTCTCCCTCCTTGATTTCATGCAAATTGCGTCACATTCCCGGAAAGGAACACACACACGGCTTTTCTGGCTCATGTTCTGAGCACATTGGAGCGTTCCTCACGCTGACACAGAGAACGGCTCCTCTTAATTGTTCTTCCTTTGCTGCTCCATCTTGTCATCGTCACCAAAAATAGATCCTCAGTGATATCAAAACCCGAGTCGTTCAGAGGTCGGCTGAAGGGGGTCCAGAACTTTCTGTCTGGAAACTTGGGGTGGGGTTCGGTAGAGAGAATGCACCTTTCACGATGCAAAAAGGAAAGGAAAAGGACCGTTTGGGTGTGTTTAGGATGTTGGAGAAAAAGAACATGATCTTATTGATAGCTTCCGAAGGTGATGGTTCTCTGCGGTATCACCCTCTGGTTGATTCCCTTCCTTCTCACTCTAGAAGTTTTCCTGCAAACTCTTGGCAGCACAGACAATCTACATTTTCAGAGGTACCCGTCCGGACAATAACTCCAGATTTCTCCATCCCGCTGCCTGTCCAGATGGCATCAGCTGAAGAACTTGATGTATGCATGCATGCAAGTAGTAGTAAAGAGAACCAGATTTATTAGTTGATCGTTTGCAGGAAAAAAATTAAGGGGAGTGTGCCTTTTGTTTGCTAGCACATACTGGAGGTGCTACTGAGGGGCCAGGCACACGAGGCTCTTCAGATTGCCATGGGATTAAAGGTAAAATGAATATCGTGTCACTTGCGGGAAGCATCACTTTGCCCGCCCCCCCCCAACCCAGCGAGCATCTCTGCCTTCAAAATGCAAAACATGGAAGGGTATCTGGGACGGGCCTCCCGTGCCAAGCCTACTGAATAATGTCACCCACTTAGTGGGAATTCATTGGGCACTTAAGGAATCGGATGATGCGGTAAAGCTTTTAGCTGCGCAGACAAGGCTGGCTCATTGGAGAGAGAGATAATGTAGCTGAAGACTATTGACATTACCAAGAACGGGCAAGGCCTTGAAGCCACAAAGGGAACAGGACAGTCTGTTCGTCAGGCTCTCCCCCACCATTTACTGGATTTCAGCAGAGGACCGGCACTTTCATTCCCCATTATTTTCCCCTGCCTCTCCCCTGCTCTTAAAGCTGAAATGCATTTGGCTTCTGTATTGAATGTGGACCTTGACTGAGACTGATGAATGGCTTTCCCTTTGGGTTTTTAACCATTCGACCTTCGGCTGAACAGAGACCATTGGCCATCTTCCAGCCCTGAAGTTTGCAAGCAAGGAAGGGCCCCGTGTGGGCTCCAGAAAGCCACTCTGTCCTGCTTTATGTACCATCTCTTGGCCGAGCGGGCTAGGGGGGCGGTGGTTCAGCCATTTATTTGGGGCTTTCTGGTGCTTCGGGCTTCTTGCGCGACCCACGCCAGCCATTTCATGCTCTCGGGTGGCTGCGGACCTCCAGAAGTCCTTCATTCCACCAGAGCATGGTGAACTTTGTCTTGCTCATAGATCTGAATTCAAGAGCTTAATTATGCATGCATCGGCTGTTTCCGCAGCTCTGGCATTGTTTTGAATTGTTTTACGAAACCTAATCGCAATCTTTCAGCTTTAAATAGCTTTAAATCCTCAGATGCTGGTTCTCTTCCTAGGTGCCCTCTTTCTATGGGGTTTGGCGTCGTCCTCCTTGTCTTCTGTCCCTCTTGCTTAGCTCCGGGCTTGAATGTATCGAGGACTCGTTGTAAGAGAAATACAGAACTATTCATTTAGGGAGCTGATCAGGGCTTTCAGGTGTTCTGGTGGTCAGGTGAGCCCGGGAGGAGGTGTGTGAAGTGTCAAAAAAGTGAGCTTCTCCATTCAAGAAAAAAATAGTAAAATTCCTTTTAAGGAGCAGACCCATAGCAACCATGCAGCAACTGTGTGCATGCAGAAGGTGCCAGGTTCAATCCTGGGGATCAGAGAGCAGGTCCTGACAAGGACTCATTTCTCTCTGAGTCTCTACAGACGAGGGCAGCTCCAATTTTTTCACAGCAGTACACCACATATTTCATGCAGGTGTGCTGGCAGTTGTCTAGAATATTGCACAATATTGGTTCTTAATTATTTCACACCCGGATGGGGGAATCAAGAGACTGGGGGAAGAGGAATGATGTTCACAACAGAGTGTGCGGCTGATTGTCAGCATCTCCATGTTTGTTTTCTGTCTAGACTGGTCCTTGACTGCCGTCTCCTCTTGGCTAAACCGGAGCTGCGAGGAGAGGCTGAAATTGTCTTTGGCGTCACCTGTCTGGTCACTTTCTAATTCCATCCCCTGGGCTGAAGAGAATGTGCTTTCTGTGACCCAGGCAGCCTACTTTTCTCCGCTCGGCTTTATTCCTTTAGGAGAAAGGGCTTGAAATGCAGAGGCACGCCAACGAATTAACCAGCAGGAGAGCGCAGCAGACTTCCCACTGTCGTTGAGACTCTACCATCAGTTATTGTCCAGACTAAATGCCAGCCGACTCACGCCATCCCTTCGTTAGCTGGCAAACAGAATACCCTCGTTAGAAGCAAACTGCCCAAATGTTGTAGTTGTTAAATGAGACAAATCGCGACCTGTCAGCAATCATATCCTACTTACTATGTCTCTATTTATCGACCAATCAACCTATTTATTCCTTATTTTACTTATTTGTCTGTTGCCTGTGTATTCTGCCTTATTTCTCCATTGTGCTCGGGAGTGGTGGTGTATGTGCGTCTTTTCATCCGTCTAAAAGTAGCACAAGAGAGGTGACTGGAGGCGCCATCCCTAGAAGGAGAGAGAGCCGTTCGCGGTTGATGTTTTCTCAGAACTCCATGGCAGTCTCCTGAAGGGATTAGTGCCTTGAAGTCTGTCTGGCACTAATCCTTCCTTTCTGTTTGCAAACAGCAAACAAAGCCTGTCGCAATGCCCTCCTTCTCTGCCCCATCCCTCTCGGTGACCAGAGCTACCAATTTAGTCCTTTAGGATTCTCACTGCCAACATCCTGGCGCTACCTGGATGTGCCGGTGAATGGCATAAAACATGTAGGCAGCTGGGACTTTCTGTGTGCCTTAAGCAGGGACGCAGGGCCTTTCTGCGGGCGGATGGTGCTCTATTACCTGGATGTGCCGGTGAATGTAGAAGGGCTGGCATAAAACATGTAGGCAGCTGAGACTTTCTGTGTGCCTTAAGCAAGGGCGCCAGGGCCTTTCTGCGGGCGGATGGTGCTCTTTGTGCGTGGGCACCATGAGGCTGCGTGATCCGAAAGCCCAGTTTGCTATGGTTTGGTCTGGAAGTGAAAAGCTGCAAGGAAGAGAGTCTCTCCTGATAACTGACAAGAATCTCTTCTCCTCTCTATCTTTCCATCCTCCGGCAGATTCCCTGGAACTCCTCTCTCCCATCTTTCCATCCTCCGGCAGATTCCCTGGATGACAGGATGGCGGCATCGAACCTGGAGAACCAGCTGCACAGTGCCCAGAAGAATCTGCTTTTCCTCCAGCGGCAGCACGCCGACACGCTCAAGGGACTGCATGCCGAGATCCGGCGTCTGCAGCAACACTGCACAGGTAGCAAGGAGGGGGACAGCTCCTGCCCTCCCCTCTTTGGGGGATTGCTTTTCTCCATCATGACAGATGATTTCTTACTTTGGTTCCCGTTAGAAGCATACGCTTGACTGCTCTTCCATTAAGCAGGCTTTACACCGGCAGACGTGAGGGTCCCACCAAAGACGAAAAAGAACATCTAGCCCCTGTGAATTTCATAGTTTGCGAACGTTATTTTGCAAACCCTTCCAGTAGACCTATACGAGACACCGACGTTACAGCCTTGAAATGCTTGCAGCAGCCCCATCTAGGTTTTTGACCACCCCTCCCAGAGGACTGTGGGTATTGGCACAGGTCTAGGGTCTAAGGTATTGGCACAGGTCTGAAGTCTTTTCGGCTGCTCTGTCAGCATTGGGTTGGTGCGTGAAGCTACCTTGAGAGTTTTATGGAAGACAAGATGTAAATTATTTTAACACGTGAGTTTAAAAAAAAGATCCTCACATAAAGGTCCCGGTGCTTTTATCACTCCACTTTACGAACCATGAGATCAGAAGTGTTTAAAGCCTCCAGTTATATTATGTATACATTTTACACGATGGTAAGCTTTCTTTCTTAACGATGTTATGTTTTTCAGATCTGACATACGAGCTGACACTCAAAAGTTCAGACTTAACAGGTGAGGGGTTTTATTCTGTTCCATTTGGAAGGGCCCAGTTAGGGTAAAAGATTGAGCACTGTCCAGTCATGTGGTCCATGTTGTTGCCCTGAAGGATGTTCAGTGAAGGATATTTTAGTGCAAACCTCTAGGCCTGGAGTTCTGGAATGGTCCTCCTGGGGAAACCTTCTAGCCATCAGGGAAAACAAGTTGGCCGAGACTAAATGTGACAAAGAGAGATTCTTCTGCCTCAAAAACTTAATGGGAATGTCTTCACTGAGTCTTCTTTCTGTTTCAAAAGCAGTGGAACCGACTCTGTAATTTGTTCCAGAATAAACAAAGAGAACGTTTCTATTCTTTCCAGGGTGGCTTTTGATTCTTACAGCATCTAGCTTGACCGAACACGGTTGTGTTAGGTAGCGGGCGTGTTTGATTTCACCTTGAGTCACGCTCTTTCTCTGCCGGTTCTTTCAGAAGGCGGGATCTCAAGAAGTGAAGAACTCAGAAGAAAATGCGAAGAACTGGAGGCCCAGCTGAAAGCAAAAGAAGCCGAGAACAACGAGCTGTTGAAGGAACTGGAGCAGAAGAATGCGATGATAATGGTGCTGGAGAACACCATCAAGGAGAGGGAAAAGAAGTATTTAGAAGAGCTGAAAATGAAAAGCCACAAGCTGAACATGCTGTCAAGCGAACTGGAGCAGCGGGCCAGTACTATCGCGTACCTCACCTCCCAGCTGCACGCGACAAAGAAGAAGCTGATGAGTTCCAGTGGGACTTCGGACAGCTCTCCGTCAGGAAGCCCGGTGCTCTCCGGGTACAAGCCGGCCCCTCCCAAAGATAAGCTCCCAGAGACTCCGCGGCGCAGGATGAAGAAGAGTCTGTCCACGCCTCTCAACCCCGAATTCGAAGAGGCTTACCGCCTAGGATCGGAGAGCCGCAAGCTGCTGTTACGGGAGCCCGTGGATGCTATGCCTGACCCCACACCGTTCTTGTTGGCTAGGGAAACGTCCGAGATCCACCTTATCAAAGAGAGGCCTTTAGTCATCCCGCCGATCCCCTCGGAGCGCACGTCCGCCGAGCCGCACAGCCCTGCCCGGGAGAAGCACCACAAGGCCCACGTGGGCGTGGCCCACCGAATCCACCACGGGGCTCCTCCGCCCCAGGCTCAGCCGGAAGTCGAGACGCTAGCCGTGGATCAGGTGAACGGGAGCAAAGTGGTCCGGAAGCACTCGGGGACAGACAGAACTGTTTAAGCAAATTCCTTTGGGGGAGGAGACTCCCGTATGCACTGTGATCACAAATAGGGTTAATCACATCTGCAGTTTAAGAAAACATCCCCCCCCTCTCAAATGCCACCCTCCCGTGCATGCCAAATTCTTTCTATCACTAGAATAATCTCCTTCCATGGAACACCAACATGACTGTGTTCATATTGCAGAGCATCTACTTAATGAAACGCTGTGGCCAAATTCAGGTGTCTGCCTGGCTGCTTGCTTCCACTGCTCCTTCATTTATTCTAAGCATCCTTGCGGGCGAACGCCCCGGGCATCAGGCTCCCTTACGAAATCAGTAGCAATGGTAGCATCAGATAAGCCTCCGCGCAGCCCTGTGTTATCGGCTGTGAACGGTCAAAGCCTCCTTCTATGTATCGCTCCGCAGAGTCATGATAATGTGTCTTCTTGGGAGGGGGGGCCACCCTGCGCTGACCACCCTGCCGAGGCCTGCCTGCGAAGAAGCCCTGTCTGAGCAAATGCTCTCCTGATCCATCTGGTGGGTCCTGATCCCAGTGTTCATATTTTTCTGTTACTGATTTTATCTACAGCGACTGAAATCCTAACAAACTCTATTTTATTAACCCTGGCTGATCTTGTTTTGTGTCCTTTGTTCAGTATTGGGAACGGTTTCCCCATAAGCTCGACCAGCTTTTTCTTCTAGGGCAAGTGCTGGGGGGGGGGAGGTAGGAAGCCACAAGAGAGCGAAAACAAGATGCGTTTGTGCCGTTTCTGATTGACCCTTTCGGTGGAATTTCGGGAAACGAGACTGTTTTTCTGTCTGTAGGCCTGGAAGCAAGGACCTAGTGTGCAGGGCAGAGAATCTAACTGGCTTGCAAAGGGAATGGTTATCGCCTTTTTATTAGGATGATTTGCTCCGATTTGCTCGAGTCTCCACGCAGGAGCGAAAGGAGTTGCTATGCAGCCAAAATGGCAAGAGCCAAATTTAAAAAAAATGATCACAGTTGATGATCCAAGGCAGACCTTCTTCATTCTAGAATTACTGCACCTGAGTTTAAAAACAAAAACAAATCGCAAGTGCATTACATGAAACAAATCTGATTTTTTTACATTCCATGTTCTGATGGTACAGAAAAGCATCTAAATTAGTAAGTGATTCACGCTGTGGCGTTTCGTAAAGTGATTATGCTTTGGCGTCTCATCAAGGCAGACAGAGTACAGGATCAGTTTTTGAGTTGCTGATAAAAAGATTAATAACTGCTAATCCACTTGATGCATGGAAACAAACCTCATAGGTTAGTGGAAATGGGAAGACGCTGCATTCACCGTCAGTGAAAGAATATTTTTGAAACCTTGTTAGCTTAAAATGTGCCTTTAACTCAACATCTGGGCCCGTATGCTAACTTATGGGGGGGAGCCTGCTTTTTCAAGCTATGAGTGCTTCTAAATGGATATTTCCTAATGATATTTGTGCAAAAGACATTCTGCAGCAATTCTGTCTCACCTGACAGATTTTTTTTAACGGAGAGAAAAAAATAAAGATGGAAGAAACAGTGGGAGGACATAAGAGAGTTAAAAACAGAAAATTTTTAAAAAAGCAAGGCAGTTAAGTAACAAAAGCTGCTTATGAAAGCACTCTAAGGCCTCAGAAGATGTGATATACCCTGTTTCCCTGAAAATAAGACCTAACCTGAAAATAAGCCCTAGTATGATTTTTCAGGATGCTCATAATATAAGCCCTACCCCAAAAATAAGCCCCAGTTAAGTGAAACCCTGCCCTCCACCATTGTGCAGCAACCAGAAGAAGATGACATGACTGTATTTGAATAAATTAGATTGCTGTACATGAAAAAATAAAACATCCCCTGAAAATAAACCCTAATGCATATTTTGGATCAAAAATTAATATAATTTTTGTCTTATTTTCGGGGAAACAAAGTAATTGGATACAGATAACTCTCGGGCTCAGTAGCTTGTTATTTGAAATCGGCCATTTCACGAAGCCCCTTCCGTCTTCCAAAAAAATCACCTCTTAAATTCTGATAGAAAAAAAAATCCTCATTTCTATCCTTCACGCCCTGCACGCACTCACGCACGCCAACCCCAAAATGACCGTCTTTTCAATCTTACTAGTGTGTCTCAGGGGTTTTAGCCCTAGTCCAGCAAGCAGAGGCCTCTGTTTCCAGAGAACGTTCTCCCCGGAATTCCAAACGTTGGTTCATTATTGTTTACTCCTAACTGTTGGTATTTTCTTTAAATATCCCTATAGCATCTGTTTGTTCCCACATGCTTTACTCATGACGTCTTTCTGGGAGAGCTTGACTTATTCATATGTCCGTTCCCTTCCCAGTGAGATTTTCCTTTGAAAGTTTTGCAGTAATCTCTAAAAGCTTTTCTTGAAGAATGGCAAAGGAAGCAGATACTTTTAATAAGAGGCTGTTTTAAATATATATTGCACTAGCAAGCACTGGCTTGAATCCCTTATTTATGCACGTCTCGAATAAGGACGGCATGCGCTTCCCTTTTAAGATGCTGGGAAGAGTTTGTTGTCGTATTAAAAAGGCTCTTGACCTTTCTTAATAACCATTCAAGCCAAGCGTTTGGTGGTTCGTGTTTGATTTACTTGGTAACTGTGAGCGGCAGAGTGTTCAAAGAAAATGGGTTTCCACAAGGGGAGCCGTGCTGTCCGTTGCACTTTTAAGGCTGACTAGGTACAGTATAAGCCTGAGTAGACTAGAGTGTTTCATTCGGTAGATGAATGCAGCCACCTTGAGCCACGCTGTCGGGCGAAAGCAGCATATAAAGCCAACAGAATCAATCAACAAATGTAGCCCCTTGCACTTGCAGGAGTATGTAGGGTCGCTAACTGGTGTGAACAGCAGCCTTAGCAAGGTGCAAAATGACAGAGGGTGACAATGATATTCTTAACAGTGATCCTGCACAGAAGAAACAAACAAATATCCTTCCAGCGGGTAAACAAAATCAGCCGCACATTGTATTCTAGTTAATCCCTGTGTTTTGCAGCATCTCCTACTGACCTAGAGTAGGATAATCTCACGGCCACAGATTATTCGTCAATGACCTTCTGACACGGTAGTAGTGGCTCGGACACGAGGCGTTCCTCTTAAATCTCCCGTTTTTCCTGCCCAGAAGTAGCACTAGGCTTGTAAACATGCAAAGGTGCTCCTTATTTAAAAGGGGGCCCTGTTGCTCTCAAGGTGGGACTGTAGGGGACAGAAGGGATTAAAGATAAAGGACTAATTGTTTAAGCAATGCCTGCTGCAGATCTCTAAACTGCAGGACCCCCTTAGACCCCAGATGTAGGTTTCTTTTAGGCTTCGAGTGCAGGCTTTGGATGTCGTCTTGTGGCTGAAAGGATGTAAGGATGTACAGAGGTCAGTGGGTTCCTGATGTAAAGTGGAGCCTCCGTGTGTAACTGTGCAGCCCGCTGGTATAGACCACCGGTATGCGACAAGCAAAGCTGTGGTGTGAACAGGTTCAGAGGAACGCCAGGGTTCAATTTCTGAACACACCAGTGCTAGATGGACATGTGGATTTAAAAATCATGCTGCATATATTAGTTAACTAACACAGCTATCCTGTTCATTGGCTAGTTGGCTCCAACTAGATGGTGAATGCTCACGGCTGATCACGTAATTTATCAGTATTTTTTTTTTCATCCCCCGCCCCTTGCTGTTTACTCAACCCTCCTAGTCTGCAGAGGTGTAGGCCACAGATGTTTGTTACAGTCTTTAAGGTCCGTCAGGACTGTTTTGTTTTGGTTTTTAAAAGAAACGGAATCCTTCGCAGCTGCTGACTCAACAGACACTTTAAAAACATTTATATTTAAACAAATGACAACTACTTCAATAAACGCAAACATCTGACAAATGCTAGTGAAATGGAAGTTTCAGAAAAACCTGCAGGAGGTAGCGTCAAGAGCTGGACGCAAGGAAGACGCAGGGCAAGAGTAAGACGCGTACAGAGGGAAAGGCCCTGTTCCGCTTTTCGGCATCTTCTCTCGTCAACGGGACAAGGGAGAAGCAGAACGACGACGTCGCAATTAATCGGCATTCAGGGTGAGGCAAACCCCTTGCAAGACCCAGTGGGAAATATGCCTTGTGCTAAAAAGGTCAGCTTCAAAGACCAAGCCGACCCCCATGGCGTTCCTTCGCATGGACGTCGTGTACACTGGGGTCCGGAAGGTATTCTAGAGGGAAGGAAATAATAAGGTGAGGATTCTGTGACATGTTCCTACACAACGGTAATAGTCCCCCCTTTTTTCCTTTTTTTAATTACTCCGAGCCACTTTGGCTGCAGAAGACCTATGTTTAAAAACATCGTTAAAGGTTAGCCTCTAGGTTATGAAGAAATGGTTCTTTGGAGAGCAGAACGTAATGGGGGGAAAAAGGAGCATGTGACATTCTGAGTGTGTAAGATAGCACTTTTGTGTTTTCACACTTGTAGGCCACGGGGCCACGAATTGTAAGGGGAACCTGAAAAAAGCTACAGAGAAACACAATGAGAGTGGAAACTCAGAAATATTTCCGAACTGCAGTGTTCCGGTGGACTTAGGAATGTCCAAATGTGGACAGCGAGGAAAAAACTGTCCTATTCCAGTTACTGAATGCCAGCGTCCATTTCCTAACACAGACGGGGAGGAGGGCTGGGAAAAACGGTGCCTGAAATGACGTGCCAGCCCAGGCCTGTGGGGAAGCAGGAGAACTTAAGTCGCTTGGAGGAAAAATTCCCGCATATTCCCTCTCGAAGGGTTTACGGTTTAAATAAAGATTTAGAACCTGCTGCTGGCAGTTCACACCTGAAGCTTGAGACGGTGAGCCTCGATGGGGATGATCTTCAGAATCGGTAAGTCGACCACCAGCACTTTGGGCTTGCTCTTGATGAGGCAGCTGCTTTCCAGATCCCAGTCCGCTCCTTCCAGGTAGAGGCCAGAAACGAAGCATCCTGGGGGCAACAGGAGACAGGATGATCCCACGGCTGAGGAAATAGCCTCGAAAGGCTGTGTTTTAATTTTTATACACTGGGACCTCAGATTTTCTTTCTTAATAATCCCAGGTGTCTTAATAATCCCAGTTATGCTGAGAAATGACTACAGTATTTATGCTTTTACTTGGATGCTCCTGGAGATAAAAAACATGTTTCTGTCAATTAAGGTTCACAAAAGGCGGCAAGGAATCCTTCTTAGCGCCTGCACTCAGTCCCCGATATGCTCCGGCTTCAAAGGAAGCCAGCCCAGGGAAAAGCCCTACCTTGGCCGGGGCGCTCCGTGATCTCGTCGGCCGTCCTGTATTTGGTCACTTGGGTATACAAGGTGGAGCGATCCAGAGGCCAGCCGTTCTTCCGGCAGGTGGCTTGGACAAGGGCCGTCAGGTAGGACTCGGGGATGTGAAGCCCGGACAACCACATGACGCTCGGCTCACCCTCCTCCACCTGACACACACACAAAAGAAAAAGCAGGTGGGTGGGGGCTCCTCCCAAGGCATCGCCTCCCAGTGCAACCATCGCCCAGCGTTCAGGGTGTGGTTGCATTGAGTTGAGGTCAAGGGGCTCTGGATGGGATGGCGGTCTTTGTGTCCCCCCCCTCCCAGCTTGTTCCACACAAGAAAGAATGCACGTCCGACACACAAAAGGATCTCCCAGCACACAAGACTTTAGGAAGCCGTATTGTATCTAATGAAACGATTTGCTCCTCCGGGCAAGAATCATCTATGTTGACCCAGCAGAAACTCTTGGAGACTCTCTCTCATCAGCAGGTATCTCATCTCCCCCCCTGCAAGCCATTGGTAGGCAAAATATGTCCTTTCCCTATTAAAGGAGATTCCCAAAGGCATCCTGCACTCACCCATGAGGTGTACTGGAGAAACCTGTTCTTAAAATAAATCATCCAATTGCCAAGGGTTTTCAGTGTGTCAGGGGCCAGCTTCCTCCAGATGTTCGGGATCTGCCCGTTGAAGAGGGCCCGAGCCACCTCGTCCAGCTCGTTGCTCATCCCAACCTCTCCAGCCAGGGCCTGAGAAAAGAGTCGCCAGGGGACGCTTGTGACTATTTTCTGTGCAAAAAGTACAAAAAAGGGGGAAAGGAGGGCGTGGGACCGGGTCTCCTCCCTCTAAGACAGCCTTGCTTACTCTTTGCAGTTCCGCCAAGGACTTAATCATACGGATCATGAGTTTGTTGAAGCGTTCTAGTTCCTGCAAAAGTACTACGGTGGTGGGTGAAATTTCAAGCCCAAAGCCCTTTCTGATCTGATCAATATCAAAGGTCTTGGGCATCTTGTTTTCTATGTCCTTGGCAACCTGGCCGATGTACTCATCTCGACTTATCCCGGTACCAGTTTCACCTAAAATAAATAAAAGTTTATAGTGATGAGTTTCATGTAATTTGGACACCTCCAGGTTCTGAAAGACTCGATCCGGTATGGCACAATCCGGTGCTAAACACGGCAGTTCAGTTCTCCCCATGCTCCAAACAGATCAAATATATCATTCTTTGCTTTTAAAGATTTAAGATGTCTTATCCCTGATTACCTGGGTAGAGATGTTCAGCTAAATCGTAACATACTTTGTTCATTTTTGGGCTCACGTAATTGGGATGCAGGTGTCCCAACGGCCAACCCCGTCTTGATGACGGGAGTCCCCCTTTCTCCGTTTGGGCCGTGATGAGCCAAACCCATATTACAGTAGATGATTCCTGGATCTAAACCCAACGGGCAGCCCTACTGAGACTAAACCCACAGAAGCTGAGTGATGGTGTTGATGATTCAACGGGCGGGCTGTCGTGGGCTGAGAGGCGTACCTGTTTGAGGCTGCAGCTCCAAAAGATGCGACCACATGTCCCTTGCTGCCTGTGTGTAATACCCGATTTCAGCATTCGGATGAAGGCCAAAGACCTCTGGCGTGTTAGCCAGCGGAAGGGACTCTATCTCTTCTGTAAAAGGGGAGGAAGGAGAGAAAAAAAAACAGATATGGCAGCAAAGGTTCACCTCCCGGGGATGCTATAGGATTCTAGAGCTGGAAGAGATTATCAGGGTCACCTGAGTCCAATTCCCTGCCAATGTCTGAAATCCCTGCCAAATCATCCTCAACAGAGGGGCACCCAATTGTCGTTCGAAAGCCCACAAAGAAAGAGGGCCCACCACTTTCTCAGTTAGCCGTCGCCAGGAAGTTAAGGTTTAGGTGAGATCCCCCTTTCTTTTCTTCTGAAAGCATTGCTTACAGGCCTTGTTTTCTGGGACAGCCAAAAGCCAGCTTGCTCTGCCGTCTACACACTCCATCTGTCTGAAGAGGGCGGCCATATCACCACTGCATTTTCTCCGGGATGACTGCTCCATCTCCCTCACAGATATTATCCTGTTCTGGTCCCCTCCTCTGGCCACCACATGCAAGCTTATCTCTGTCCTTCCTAAATGTTAGCATGACCTGAAATGGACCTAGGAGGCAATGTCTGCCTGAAACAGACTACAGTGGGCCTATTACTTCTCTTGATCTCGACCCTATATTTCAGCAAAAATAACCTAGAATTGTATCCGTTTTCCCCCCTTGCCACATCACACTATGAGCTTGTGTTCTAGCTAGCTAGATATCACCTGTGCTTCTAAATCTGATTTTTTCCTGCCCAAATGTTGTACATCTACACCTGTTTAAATTTTAATGTGTCCATCTTAGCCCAGTTCTCCGATCTATTAAGACCATCCCGAATCCTGATTTTGTCTTCTGAGATGCGACATATTCTTTCACGTTTAGTGCCACCTGCAAGTTTTTATGAGTAAATTTGATAATTATGTCACAACTGCTGCCGCTTAAGAATCTTCAACACTGAAAAAAAAATCTGCATAAGCTTTTCTTTATTTTAGGCAAGCAGTAAGCACTTGTGGAATAAATAGAGTCAAGACTTGAAGAAGGAAATAAAAAGAATATTGTAGGAGATCTGTAGCAGAAAAAAAAATCCTCCTGATGGTTCTGGAGTAGTGCTAAATTAAGTGGTATTAGGTCCTGAGAAAGCTAATTCCACACCCTAAATTATTATGCATAAACATATCTATAGCATACAAAACTTTGGATAGGAACTCTAAAAAACAGAAACGGTAACCACTAGCTGGAATTAAACTGCTAAGACTTTGCTCATGAATACAAAATATCTGAACCGGGCAGTTGCCAGAAATTCACCCAACGCATCCCCTGCCAGCCTCATTTGCTGAAGACAGAAGAAGGTCTTAGGAGATGTGGAAGTCAAGTCAGCTTGAAAACCGAGCTGCAAAAAATATATATTTTGCTCACCCACAAAATCATCCTTGGACTCCCCTTCAGGGATTCTGTAATCAACGTCGTCATTGTGGTAAAAATGGAAGGGCTGAAAGGTGTCAAATATAAAATCCCCCAGATACTCATCCATGTAGATGGTCAGGATGCGCCGATCAAAGCTGTCGATGGCTCGCCCGCCGTACATCACCTAGAAAGAGAGGAGGCGAGCCTTTAGGGGACGACACAAGGCGGTCGCCACAAACCCGTGGGAGTTCCACTTGCATGGGATCCGAGTTTCAGCAAAAGCGAAACGAAATCTCAGAAGGGAAAAGAGAAATTTCACATCTCTTAGTTACATAGCGTCAAGTCAATTCTGACTTAAGAGCAATCCTCCCAGGGAAGGGAAAAAGTCTTCAGAAGTGGTTTCCTAGTTCCTCCTCCCGGTGGCGCTCTGGAACCACCCTGCAGTTCACTCGAGGCCACACAACTGACAGAGCGCATAATCCCATTAGCCACATATGTGCCAAACACCCTTGGAACTGGTCCCTTTTTTGGGGGGATCTGAACATCTGTCCTCTGGCTCAGCAGCCAAGGGCTCCATCCCACTGAGCAATACCAGCACATTGATTCCATACACGACACCGAAGTCATCTATCATACTCATGTTACAATAGTGGTATACTGGGGAATAGTACTACCATGTTTCCCCGAAAATAAGATGGGGTCTTATATAAATTTTTGTTCCAAAAAACCGCAATACTAGGGCTTATTTTCAGGGGATTTTTTTTTTCATGTACAACAAACTACGTTTATTCAAATACAGTCATGTCGTCTTCTGGTTGCTGCACAATGGTGGAGGGCGGGGTTTCACTTAACTAGGGTTTATTTTTGGGACGAGTAGGGCTTATATGGCAAGCATTCTGAAAAATCACACTAGGTCTTATTTTCAGGGAAACAGGGTATTAAGATGGCCTTTAAGAAGTAAACTGACGTGGGCAAGAGAGAAAAGAACAGAACATCCACTTTCCCGTGTGTGTGTGTGTGTGTGTGCGCATGCGTGCGCGCGCGTGTGCGCCAGTTTATCCATGAGCATCTCTAGCTGAAGATGGCCACCCCCAGGGGGCAAGGACGCAGCCGGCCAAACCACAACCAGCTCTGACCGAGACATGGGAGAGAACCTGCTGCTCGGGCATCTCTAGCTGAAGATGCCCTCCCCCCCAGGGGGCAAGGACGCAGCCGGCCAAACCACAACCAGCTCTGACCGAGACATGGGAGAGAACCTGCTGCTCGGCAGAACGAGGAATGGGAAGGCCTTCGGAAAAGCACCAGCTCTCCTCGAGGCATCATGGACGGCCGGCCCAACACCAAGCATCCGTTTCCTTGCTTACCTCACCAATGAGATACTTGAGGCTCCCCCACGGGATTCTGTCGTCATTTTGTTCGAACGCTTTGGTCAGGTAGGTATTCAGGATCTCCATGCAAACCTAGCAAAGGGGGCAAGGGAGCCAAATAAAAAAGTTTACAGATGAGTCCCTCTGAATTTGTGAATTTCGTTGTATGGTATACTGTGTATATACTTACAATGACAATAAATTATATTATTATTATTATGTCCCTCTGATCCTGTCTCAGCTGAGCCTTTGATGAACCCTCAACCCCAGTGCCTCCCAGTTCTTTCTCAGCAGTCATTTGGCCTGCCTGTTGAGACACCACCACCCACCCACCCGGTCCCTTTGCTCTGTTGGGACCATCCTTGGACTCCTCCTTTCCCAGAACGGTATTCCTCAAAGAGGTGTTGACTTGCTCAGGAAACACTTAAAAGAATTCTGAAGAATTAATCGGGAATAGCTGAAGGCCTACGAACACCCTTACGAGAAAGCCCTATGTGTTTTTGGTAGGGCTTACTGCCAGGCACGCATCTATAGGATTGCAGCACACACTTCCTTTGTGGCCTGTGGCAATCCTGCAGTCAGAGACGATGTTGTTTTTAAAAACCTTGCAATGTATCTAGAAAAGTGTCATTTCTAACAACACAGAAACCCTGAGAGCAGGTGGATCCAGAAATCTGCCACGAGCCCCACAGGAATGGTCTCGAGCATCTGGGGTGTAAATCTTGGGGTGGGGTGCCAATCCTCATCACAAACACAGCCGATGGGGATGTTCTCCCCGAAGCGTCGGCCAAATTCTCACCTGGAAGTCAGATTCGTTGAAGTCATAAGGCACGTTCCAGCCAATCTTCCCAAACTTCCTTCTCTCCTGAACCACAGCGTGGAAAAACGCTAAAACATAGACCAAGGACTTGAAAGCTGGGTGAGGGCACTGGTCCAGCGCTTCGTGCGAGATTTTGAAGTAAGTGGCTCTCATGTTCAGTTTCAGCCCGTTGGGAGGCTCAGTGACGACCTGACGGGATCAGAGAGAAAGATAAACATTGCGCAGGTGTATCCACTTCCTGACCCTCCTCTTCCTCTAGTCTTATATAGAAGGACAGTTAGGACTCCTGAAAAGTTATTTAAAGGACATTCTGCTGTTCCAACATCTGTTTGGCAATATGATTAGGTTTACGGGAGGGATTTGCAGGAGGAGAACCAAAGTCGCTGTTGAAAGATCATTAGCGGAGCTTCTCCCAGCTTGAGATTTAAAAATAATCAGCTTAACTTGCTTGCGGTAAATGCTTCAAGACTTAGGAAGCAGCTGGATTCTGTTATGCTGTCAGGTAGTCTCTCTTCCCCCACCCCCACCCATCCCCGACACGGAGGCCCAGTCCCTCACCCCAGGCATCTGCTCCACTTTCTCCAGCACAGGTGGGGATGATGGGGAAATGGAGATGCCAACGTATTGCTAGGAATTTGGATGACCAAATCCTCCCTTCACCACCACACACATGAACATGAGGAATATATTGGCGTGCAATCAGCGCAGGTGAAGATGATGGGGAAATGGAGATGCCACCGTATTGCTAGGAATTTGGATGATCAAATCCTCCCTTCACCACCACACACAAGAACATGAGGAATATATTGGCGTGCAATCATAAGTCAAGGGACATCAATGCTGCATGCAGCCCCCAAGGGCATTTTTGTGTCCTCCCCCTCCCCCCAAACTGCTGAGATTTGATGCCCATGGTAGGAATATATATTCCTTCCCATGCCATTCCGTTCTAGTCTTACCTTTAGAGATTTCTGGAGTATCCCAATGGGGAATCCCTTTGTCGGGTCTGTGGTCAACCACAAGCGGAAATCCGGGTGGGGCTTCACGATCCTCTCCAGGGCCTTTTCCAGATCAATCAGCCATTTCACCAAGAGGTGACAATTCTGTAACATTAGCCACTGCCCACGGGCCACGGCGTTGTCTAGCAGCTGCAGAGCAACCTAGAAAAGAGGAAGCGGGGTCCCGTTAAGTGGTTGACTTGAGCTAAAGGAAATTCTCCACCCAAAGAGAGTTTTGATGCAGAAATCCACCTGGAACCAAGCATGCTGGGTAGCTAGTTCATTCATTTTGTGGACCTACAAAATAATCCCTCTGAGGCTGGCTGGAGAGCCCATGAGTCAGGTCTCTGGCTGCAAAGCTAGAGGTGGAGAGTTCGATTCCAGAAAAAGAGCCAGCCTGGGGAGTCTTGGGCCAGCTGCGAAGTCCCTGGGCGCCCCCTAGAGGAAGGGAAAGGTAAACCTCTTCTAAGCACTCTCTACCTAGAAGACCCTGAAAAGCGTGGTCGTAAGTCAGAACTGACTTGGCAGCACATGATGATGATCATGAAGATAATCCCTAAAGAACGGTGCGTGGGGTTCAGAAGCACACCTGCGTGATCCTTATAAGCCCACTGAGTTTATGGGGCCGCCCCTCTCCCTGAAGGTCGGCCAAGGGGCATGGCTCTGGATGACAGTACCTTCTCTTGCCCTTGTCCCATGGCTAGGAATTTCAGCCGATTCCCTCCGAAGCCCGTTCGGTCAGCCAGCTTCATGAGGTCGCTGGCAGGGTCGGAGCCAGGACTCAGAATGAAAACGATGGGCGAGTGGGGAGTGCTTTGCTCAAAAATAGCTTCGAAGCTGATCACAGGAGGCTGGACGTATCTGGGGAGCAGAGGAAGGGGGAACGTAATGGAGTGACTAAAAAAGGGAGGGTGACAGGGTGAAGACTAAAATTGGCTTGCCCTGAGGAGGACGACATATCACTCAGACCTCCTCCTGGAAACGCATCCTGTTTAAAAACAGGGGAGGAAAAAGCGCCACCTACTTCACGCCCATTGTGAGAGTAACGTAGTCAGTCACCGCACGATAGACCCGGTCTACTCGGAAGCAACGTAAAAGCAGAAGCTTCTGGAAGTTGGTGAGGCTGCCCTTGTAGTGCATGGGAAACGGGACTTGTTCCGGAGCATCAATATCATACCACTGCAGAGAAAAGGCTAGGCATCATGTCAGTTTTCAGCAAGTCCTTGATGTAGCTTCAAAGGAGGAGAAAATTACGAGCAGTTTGCTCATTTTTCTGCTTCCTCCTCCATGAAGCCCCATTGGGTTACCCCTAAATCTGGCCCGATTTTATGTTGTCATTAACTTGGGCCAAAGCTCCAGATTGAGAGCTTTGTACTGCCCTCTTCATAATTAAGAACATAATTAAGCGTTCGCGGGGGAGAATTTTGCTCACCTCTTTCCACTCCTCTGGTTGATTCTCCACGTCATCTGGAAGAGATCCAAACTGCTCCAGAAAAAGTTCAGCAATGCGGATCACATCTTCCCAGCCTTGATCCGGAAGCCAAGAACACGGCTTCTTTCGGGGGCTCTTCTCCAATGAAATGTTGCCTAGAGTCAGGGCAGATAATGGGAGCCTGAGAATCCATGCACGTAAAGACAAGTTTTAGAAAGAATTAAGAACAGCAAAGGCATTCATTTTGGGTGGGGGGGGAGAGAAAACGATCTTCTTGTCACCAGGTAAGGAAATGACAACTCCAAATTAAGGAAACATCATATTGATTGATATAGTAATTACAACAGAGTTAACTCCAAATAAGCTAGAATTAATCAGAGGGTCTTTTCAATGGCAGGAGTCTTATAAACTGCTACAGAAAACTAAGGAAACTGCAGCTTGGACATTTAAGGCACTTGTGCATTAAAAGTCTATTTTATAAAGCATGGAGTACCATACTGAAGGATAGCAAAAAGAAAAAAAAGGAAGAAAGTCAGCCTAACAAACAGATGGAAACATTGATAGGTGGAACTAAAACGCATGCAGCTTCTCAGTCTGCCAATATTTGGAAAGCATTCAGCTACCTTTTAAAAAGAAATCCAGTTCATCCTGAGGGACTTTACGATCGGCCTGTTCAATCTTGATTGTCATGTTAAAGGAGAAGAGTAACTTGTGCTTCTCAAACAAGCCTGTGAAGGAAAACACAACGGCCTTCGTTATGAGATCTCACAAATGCGGTGAAGATTTCTCCTCCTCCCCAGATTTGATCCAACGCAAAATACAGCACAATGGGTTGGCTACTGAATTCTAGGATCTGGGAAACTGACGAGGGGAGTCCAGGGGGAGGGAACGATCCACCACTTCTGAGAACTCTCTCCCTAGAAAACCCTGGAAAGAATCACTATCAATTGGAACTGACTTGATGGCACACCATGATTACTTATTATACCGCATTCTAAATATGGGAGGATCGCTAGCTTAGGGGTGAGAAGGATGTCTCCATGAAAAACGAGGGGAATACGGATGACCACTCTTTCTGGGTGTGTGTATGGGCTCTTTGGAAGAGACTCCTCTCTCTTGTTTCCATGTGTAGCTTCGTGCGGCACCAACCTGTGCAGCCGTAATTATAAACGTTGAACGTCAGCGTGTCCATGATGTTTCTCAGCCGTTTCGCAAGAATGGTGTCGGGCATCGATTTCCGAAGAGAGAGACCAAAGACGTCCAAGAACGCAGCCAATGAGTACTGGTACATGGAGTTGACGAGGGCCATCTCTGACAGCACGAAGAACAAAATGGCGCCCCTCCTGGCCGCCGGACGGTAGCCGTCTCGCAGCTTGTCAATGTCTATGGCTGTTTTCTCGGCTAGTTTGAGTTTCTCTGAGACCTGGCGGCACAAGAGATGGTCTTTCTTTCAATGGGTCACTGCGAGAAGCGTAATTATTCTGAGAACGTCTGACCAAGGGTGGCCGTTCTGAAAGTCAGGCTTAATGAATGGAGGTGGGCTTTTTAAAATCTTAATGGTGACCACGTTTACTCCATGTACTTGGAGTGAGCAAACGATTCGCATTGTGCTCTGCAGACCGGGCACCGCAGGTACCATCGTTACTCTCAGGAATGGTCCTACAACCCCTTCTGCTTCAACCCGCCCAGAGACCTTTGGGTAGGGTGAGCAGCGTATAAGTTGAATGAATGAATGAATGAATGAATGAATGAATGAATGAATGAAGGGTTACAAAAAGCAAATAAACGCCTTGAAAGGCTTCTGCTCCTCTGGTGTGGAGGGAACAGAAGACAAAGTGTATCTATCTATCTATATAAAATACATTGGGAGCGACGGAATCTGTTGCCAGCATGCAGGCACAGGAAAATCTCCCAGGGCCAAAGAACGGCTCCCACCTCATTCGCTTTGGACTTCGTCTCCTCCAGGGTATGGACCAGGTCTACGTTGTCCAGCATGTTCCCGGTGGACGTGGCCAGCTCACGGAGCAGGGAATCCTCCAGGTCTTTCAGGAGATTTTTGTTCTCGCTTGTCTCCTGGATGAGATGTTCCCTCTGCTCTTCCAGTTCGCGTCTTTCGAATCCGACGATAACGCTGAGCAGCTGGTCTTCCAAGCCCTTCAGGGTAACTGGAGGAAGGGATCGTTAACAAATACAACATCAGGGGGAAGCGTCTAACATTGCCTTCCGGTCTCAGGTCTGGGGGTGTTCTTTTCTGAAACGGTACAATTGGTAACAGCTCGTGATCTCTTTACAGGAGGGGGGGAGGACAAAGGACCGTTTGCGAGCCTCGTGAATTCGCTCACCTGTGTAGTTGATGACCATGGCTTTGCCAAATACGGACGGCGAATATTTCGGATTCGCCAGCTTGGTGTTCAGGTACAGCCTGAAATTGGCATCGTAGTCCACTTCTTTGTCACCGAGAATGATGAAAGCGCGACCCTGGGCGATCTTGACGTTCTTTTCCAAGACGTTATCAATCACAGGGTCAATGTATTCATCAACATCGTGGAACAAGAAAGGGTTCCCGTATTTTATCGCCATTTCCAGCTGCTTGAGGAAATCAGGATCATTGAAGGAAGCCATCTGGAGGAGAAAAGAGGCCCGGATATGAGAACAGTCCCAGCCGCTAAAGAGGCAAATGCTGCTCTCCATTTACCAGGTCCTGTTTCAGTACAGTTAGAATTAGCACCTTAATTCAAACAATCTATATAATTATTTTAAAACCAACAAAAACCCCAATATCCTCTGTAACTGCACATCCTCCTGTTGTTTCTTTTGAAATAAAGCACAGGCAAACCCAAAATCTTGCTGTCTTGTCATGACACTGCAATTTACTGGAAAAAACAACAACATGAGGTTTTATTCTGTTGGATTTCCACTCCTAAAGAGAGGTTTATGTTATAAGAAAAATAAAACCAAAAAAAGTTAACTTTACCCTGAGGTTATTTTTTTCTTCTTTCCTCTTTATCCAGTTTAAGGCTTGCTGCTGGGGATCGATGCACAAGGGGAAGCGGCTCGCTCGGGTCGTGAGGATGCCGTTCTGAACGGAGAGCTCGTCCGGAGGCAGGCCCTGAGACCCCCACCTGGAAAGAGAACAGTCAGAGGGGAAACCGGGCTGTTTCAGCCTGGCAAAAGAGAGAAGCCGCCTCTTTCATGAGAGCCTCTGGAGTCCAAAAAAGGAGATCAAGGGGGGGGGACAACAACAACAAGTATGTGTGAAAGCGTTGTGTTCCACAAACAGAGCTAGGGGCGATGTTCATGCAGGGACGGAACTTTGAAAGTGGACCTGAGCAGATCATAGTGAAATTCCTTTTTTGGACTACAGCTCTCAGAATCCCCTATGCTTTGGGATTCTGGAAAATGTCATCATTGTCGTCATCTTAGAACTTCAGAGCTGGAAGGCGTCGTCATCTTAGAACTTCAGAGCAGTAAGGGACCCTATAGAGATTATCCAATCCAGCCCCTGTCCATGAGGCACAAGTGGGGGATCAAACTCCCAACCTCTGGCTCCACAGGCGAATGCCCAACCCACTGAGCTATCCAGCAGTTCTATTTTTATCGTCCAAAACAAGTAACCATCCCCAGATCTGTGCTGGAGGCTGGGCTACCGACTGCCCATAGAGCAAAGAGGGGTCTGGGCCTTGTTTGCGGAGCCAGAGAATATACGGTAAGGGAACCTCCGTGGATTTTAAGACCAGGGGCAGTGGAGGCAAGAGGGCCTACCGACTAATCTCAACGTCATCGGTCAGCAGATTTTCCAGTCGGAAAGGCTGGCTGAGAGGAATCTCCCGGGACCGGATATCTTCTTGCCAGGCTTCCTTGATCATTTCGTCCCGGAACTCCCAGGTGAAGGCCCCTTCGTAGCTCAGGAAGGCCGCACAGAGCAGACAGTCTCCGAGCAGCTTCACTTGACGCCGCTTCAGCTCCTCCAGGTCGTTCAGCCACCTGGTCAGAAACAAAAACAAAACAAAACAAAAACTCACAAAAGCACAGGAGACATGACAGGATGCCCATCTTCATGAGGACAGGGCGGACGGGGTGGGGACGGTCACAGCATGAGTTTTTCTCGCTGCCCCTCAATTGCAAACCAGCCCCCTTTGCTTGGCGATTGGTTTCCAGGACATTCTTCAATGGCGAGTCCGACGGCTCAGACAACCCGAAGACGGGATCGTGTCTTTCATACAATAAGACACAACTGCGGGTCTAAGGACAGGCTGTCTCTAATGAATATGTTCATCAGACATCTCTGATAAGCAGTTCATTAAGAGATTCATGACCTTTTTTTTTCAATAGAGTTGACTCCTCTCTAATGTCCACCACAGATCTTCGATATAAAACTTCAGCGCTAGCTATAATCCACTTCATTTTATTCTTGCCTAATATTTTCTGATCCCAAGCCCGAGATGAGTTTGTCGGCGGCGATCAGCCGTCGCTCCATAATCTCCGCTTCTTCCTGGAGCTGCTGCTTCTCCCGGATGGCCGCCTCGTACTTGTCTCCCAGCGCTTTCAGCTCGTTCTGGATGGTGGTCAGCTCGTTCTGGATCTTCTCCAGCTCCCGCTTGCTCAGGAAAAAATTCCGCTCCAGCCGGGCCACCTGCGCGGAGGACAGACACCGCTCAGACGACCATGGCTTCCACACAAGCACAAGCACACACACACACACACAAACAACGCTGCCATGGCGGGTTCACCGATACCAACCCTCTTGCAACCATTCCAGCTGCTTGCTGGAGGGGGGAATGCAGGACAGAGAGTTTGCTCCCCCTCAAGCCACATTCAACTGGAAGACAGCAGTTCTGCCAAGCGAAACAGACTCTCTACTGCTGAAAGAGCACTGTAACTGCAGAGTACTTCGAGGTTGCAGGAACTTGCTTCCCAAACACAGGGATGGCTACCTTCTCTCCTAACACCTTGGTGTGGCCGCAGAAGCTGCTCTTAGATTCGGAGGAGAAAATGCAGTTACCTGCCCCACCCCATGGCTCTCAGCCATGCTGGGAAATGGATCAGGCCCCAGTGGGTCATCTCAGCCCTGCCGTTTTTGTCTGGCCTCGTTTCTGTTGGGCCTCCCCAGAGGACCTCTCTCTCTGTCTTCCCCATGACACTGCTATTCCTTGGTGGTACAAAAGCTTCAACTGCTCCTGTGGCTTGAGAGACCGGCGCAAAGCGCTTTGGATGAAAACCCCTGAGAACCTCTCCAGAATTAAATCCAATGTTTATGCTGAAAAGGTGCCTCCCCCTTGACTTTCAACCACAGTTAGGGTCGGGGGGGGGGAATGTGTCAGAGCCCACCCCACCCCACCCCAAGCAAAGACACAGGAACCTCAGAACGCACAACTCCTCGGTCACATCTATTCAGGGCCTTGTGGTGTCCATGTTTCACTGTCTTCCCCCCCCACCACCAACACCCCAGTACCTTCTCCCTCTTCGGCTTGACTTCCTTCGCCACATCACAGTAGCTCATGACGGCATCCACAAATTTCAGCATCCCCAGGCCTGCTCTGCTGACAACCTCCATCTCTTCAAAGGTGGTGTTCAGGTTCTTGAGCAGTCCTCCAAACAAACAGAAGCGTTAGTTTGAAACATAAAACGTGTTCCAGAGAGAAAAGCTAACAGGCTTTGGTGTCATCTTCTGCTCCCTGATGTTGCATCTGGGAGGAGACAGCCTGGGTAGGACAGCATTTGATATTCAGCCTTCTCTCTCTAGACCGCCTCCATCAGGTTGCTGGGGTTTGGGGGGGCCTGGTGGTAGGGAGGTGTGTGTCTGTGGGAGGAAAATGTTTAGGAACCGCAAGGAGGGGAAGAAAGGGACAGGGAGAGACGAGCCAAGGAAGCATCCATTCGTTGGGCGCCCCGGCTAAACAATCCCTTCGTTTCCCTACAGGGCAATCTTATCACCAAGGTGTCCTTTGAGATGAATGTAACCTTGAAGACAATTAAGCCGGGCCTCCCCCATCTTGCGAACTCCATCTTGGAAAATTACTTGATTACCCCTACAGTTTGGAAACAGGAGGTCCCATGCCCTGCTCTGTATCAGA